CTCGAAAGCGAGTCGATTGGATAAGTTCTGATTAGTTATACAGTTTTGCAGAAGAATCATTGAATGAGCTGTATCAGAAAAATAATCAATTCTATTTGAGGAAGAAAGATATCTAGGATGATGGAGCAACATTATGGAGTTACACTATACAACATCTCTGTGTATTGATGCAGCAAATGAAAGAGTACAGTTAAATGAGTAAATCATACGGAAGATTGAAGCTTCAAGATACAACTGATGAATTTACACTGTAATAATATTTGATTCTTGTTTAAAGCTTTGTCTACATTCTTAAAAATTGGAATGAGATAATCAGTAAGAACAGATGCATGTTTGCGGGTGAACTTGAGATGATTAAACACAACAGTACACAAACAAAATTTAGTGTTAAAATGTCGAATTGTACTGATGATATTGTCCTATGGATAATTGTACTAGATAGAATTCAAAAGTCTTAGTGGGACAATTAGAAGTATTATGAATCCCCCCAAATTTTGACCAAGATTAACTTCTAGGAAGAGAAGCAGTAGGCTTAATTTATTCCCTAAATGTATAAGTAACTAAGGTATGTCTATTTTCTATTTTAAATCAATGATTCAATTTCTTTCAATGCAGTTGAAATTATCACAGTTATCCTATCTCTGATGAGTTCATTATATGATAAGCGTTCATTTTCTCGTTAACAGTATGATGTCTCTATTACAAAACTAACCTAAAAGTGCACGTAGAAGTTTATTGATCTAGACATATGTACTCGGAACATCCGTAGAAATAAACTTTTACATATACAAGAAAACATGAATTATAAAGCTTAATCTTGATTCCAAGATAGTAAAAAAATGTAGAAGTAGTGCTTTGTTTTTGGTAAACGATTATATATGTACTTTTTCATATTGATATCGTTATATCGATAGAAAAAAATATGAATATAGACGTCAACTGTAGTGTATTTAGGCAAAAAGAATACAATAGAAGTGAAATATTATGTTTATCTATTATGACATTCAGTTTGAAGAATTTCGAACAGAGTAGCAACAAAAACACAGGTACATATTGTATAAAGATTTGGTTGATTTAATTTATTCAACGTATAAATTTTCAATTGGTAGAATTTAGAATTTAACTAGATATTCATTGAATTAAATTCTCTTGTTTTTTGTCTTCGTCAAGGTATGGAGCACCATATGTTGCACAACGTATAGCAAATATAGCACTAGATGCAATGCTTTATTTATATGATAATGAATTTACTTCTGTTGAACGAGAAAAAAAATTAGGAGTTTTATTATGGCCTGATTGGCATTATGGTGTATTGAGTATGTATGGTACACATTTAGCAGTAAATCATTTATCAATTTCTGAAAAACTTGATATAAAAAAAGCAGATGAATTATTAGATCAATCAACAACAAATAAAGATTCATATGATTTAGAAAAAAATAATCGTTTACATTTACATTGTTGGCATACAGATAAACAATTTTCAAAATTTCAATTTAAAGCTGGAAAATATAATGATATACATCCACGTACACTTATTAATGATACATCAGCTCAAGCTTATGTAAGTTTAATTAAAGAATATATGTACTTTTTTTTAATAATTATTGAATTCGATTCCTTTTTTAGGCTATGAGAATGGCATTAGAGTCTCGATTAATGACACTTGATGAACTTGGACAGTATGTACATCGTATTAGTAATAACAAAACAAAATAATTATTTGTTGGAATGTATATTGTAAAATCAGATATTTTGTTTTTTTGTTATTCGTCTAATATTATCCGGTGAATTGTATCAGTCTATTCCTAATGTTTTCGTTTTAAGAAAAATTTTATGAAAATAAAGTATGATTTTATAATAACGGGTGGCGCAGAATAAATGGCCCTCTCAGTATTTTAATCATAACTTTTTCATTTTTCATGCTATCGAGCTATATTTTTTTTAAAAGATGCCCCGTGAAATTCTCTACAAAACGTATATATTTTTATTATCTTAAATAATCTCCATTATTTCGTAACATGCGATACAATTGATTAGTCCAAAATCCCTAACTTTCAAAGACAACATTTTTGCGAATTTTTTTACAGCATATTTTAACTGTTTGATCATTCCTGGTTTGAATATCACTCTATTTAAAAAACAAAATATATCACAAGATGTAGCGTGAAAAGCTCTACAATCTACAAATTAAAGTTTATTTGAATTGCATACTTTTTGTTTTCAAAAAGTATGCAATTCTCTGTGCGACCAATTTTTGGCGTTGCAAAAACCGATCGCAGAGAATTTAGAGTTTTTTTGGATATAAAAGATACAGAAATAAAATAAACTGTTCTTTGTGAACTGTAGAGTTTTTCACGCTGCATCTTGTGATATGTTTGGTTTTTTTAAAGAAAATATATTAGATGATAAAAAGATAAAATAAGAAAAAAAGATTCTCGTTCATGTAAAAAAAAATGATTCTTTCACAACGGCAAAAATTATTCGTACAGAGTTTTGCTTTTTTCGAAAACAAAAAGTATGCAATTCAAATAAACTTTAATTTGTAGATTGTAGAGCTTTTCACGCTGCATCTTGTGATATATTTTTTTTTTAAATAGAGTGGCATTAAAAGCAGTAGTGATCGAAGAATTAAAATGTTACCTTTGAAAGTTAGGGATTTTGGACCCATCAATTCTATCGCATGTTACGAAATAATGGAGATTATTTAAGATAATAAAAATATATTCGTTTTGTAGAGAATTTCACGGGGCATCTTTTAAAAAAAAATATAGCTCGATAGCATGAAAAATGAAAAAGTTATGATCAAAATATTGAGGGGGCCATTTATTCTGCGCCACCCGTTAGAACAGTAAGAATTCTAATGTTAAATCTGTTGTGTTAAAAAAAACGATATCTAGAATGAAAATAGATAGCATTTTGAATTTGGATTTTGGATTTCTAACATTGCACAAATAACAAAATATCTTCGTATTTATCGAATTGATGAAAACTTACGGTAATTGTTGAAAGTTGTTGTTGAATTTACATCTAATCTTATAATGATTATTACGGAAAAACATAGTCTTTAATGCAATTTGTTCACGTTAGAAAACTATATCGTGTTTCATCAAGCGTTTTTTTAAAATATGATAACTATCAATTTTATAGCGTCCTTTAAACGTAAGCTTTGCCTATTGTATTCGTAGAAATGAATGAGACGGTATTCATTTATATTAATATCAAATATTCACTTTCACCTACAGATTGCGAAGTTTTGTGATATGGATGTTCTCTTCACTTACACCCCTTCACATTCACACTCGCACTTGATAATTAATCATTGCAAAGATTCCCACCTAGTCTCACTGCATTAGATCGACATAATGAAAATAAAATTCATAGATTATTTATAATATACAGATTTTACTTCGGGTGAACTAAACATCATACTGAAAAATCGTATATATTTGTATCAAATAGAGATCTCAAAATGACATGCCAACGAGCGTCAGACAATGTGCCATTCTCGAGATCATCGTATCTCAAAATATGGACTTTGGATGCAGAATTCAAGAATGAGAGAAAATCTCCTCTGATCGCCATAAAAATGCTTCGCAGCTTAATTACAAAAGGAAAAATAAGAAATGAACTCATTGAAATTCAAAACAATTCATTAAATTTTATTCGATTGTCATCTCTGCGAATTGCATGTTTGATCTGTTCTTTGTGTTCATATTCCTAAAAGAAGCATGAGCTCGGAGTAGCCACTCTGACATTTTTAGAAATACATTGAAGATGATGCAGAAGTGCCGAGCAACACCAGTGAAACTTTATTAAAAGACAATAACAATACTTTGACGTATGCTTCAACATCTGAGAACGAACAATTTTAAAAAGAAAGAAAAACCATTACGGCAACATCTTAGGAACATTCTTACCTTGTTCATCTAAATTAAAATTATAAATTTCAATTATGATTCAACATACTCTGTTACAATTTCACACACACATATATATATATAACATATGATGTAAAAGTAGTGTCTATTTCAAATGTCGATTATTGCATATCTTCAATAAAGATTTACTAAGATAATTCGTTTTGTATAGATAACGGAAAAGAAAGACGCTTTCCTCTTTTGTTTTTTTTTATTATAAACCTTAACATCTGTCTGTATAGCACAGGTTTTCAACTTTTACTTTTCGTGTAATTTGGCTTCCAATTGTATGACTTGAATAGGATATTCATAAATGAAAAAAAAAGAAAGTTACTTGTTTCTTGATGAAAATCTATCGTTTCAATACATCATATCTTTCTCTGCATAAACGTTTTTACCGAATGTTATACAGAAATATGTCAAGTTCTTGTGTATTACTTTAAACAGTACAAAACAATAATCTTTTTCGTTTGTGTATAGAATATTCGTGATTGAAAATTTGGTTAGTTATGCTGCATTTCACTAAAAGCCATATCGGCGAAGTGAAGATTACCGAAACACAACAATCTAATATTTCAGCAATGAGTTAGACAATGAAAAACTTCATATATTTAATTTTTTAGAAGGAATGAAACTAAGAAATGATTACTGATCATATCAATTTTATTAAAAATTTTTTTAAATTAAAACAAATCGTTTTGAACAATAACAAAAAAAAGAACAGAAAGTATAATTTTATAAAATAATTCTATTTGATTTCTAAGAGAAAATAATGTTTTTGTAATCGAATATGGAATTACGTAATCTTATAAATAAAAATTAAAACTCTAAGCATTGATCTAACAAAACATAGTTTTTATTGTTCTTCATCATTCTTATGTGTTTTCCAGATTTTTCTTGTCATGTATTGCACGTATGGGTTATTAGATTTTGTTTTTTTGTTTGACTATTATCATATTTGGTCACAGATGTGAACTATCATTACTTAAACTAAATCGTCTATCAGATACAAATAACTTATTATTCTTATATCTATGCTTGAAATTACCATTGTAAAGGACACAAAAAAAAATAATCACAATGAGAACGTTGTCTTTTATCACGAAAAATCCAATATGTCGTATTCTTTTGATAATTATTATTATTCAACCATTGATCCTAATTGAAATAGCTGTATTTCGTCTATCACATACACAAATCGTTCCATGTATACAAGTAGTACATGGTAAAACAGAACAAATTAATATTAATAATAAAAATGAATATCTTGCACGTGTTTATCAACCATTATCATCGTCTATATTACGTGGCATTATAATTTTTTATCCACATGATCAAGAAATTTCTTTCTTACCTGAATTACTATGGCTTTATCGTTCATGGATTGAAATGATGAAAACTGAACCATCATTATGGCGAACAGATTTAGTTATTTATACAGGAGTTTTTACTTTAAATCTTCAACAACTTGGTTGTATTTATAATCGTATTCGAACAAATAAATCTGAATCACCTCAATGTCGTGTTTTTTATTATCAACGCGTACATTTACGTGATATACAAAATATAAATAATACAGATAATCAACTTTATCAACAAATTGATATAAATCGTTCAATATTACTTAAAACACGTCTTAAAACATATGAATATGTAGATTCAATTAATATAGTTGCTGAATGTTATCCATCATTTGCAATGTATGATTATATTGTACGTACAGATATAGATGTTTTTTTAACACCATATTTTGGTCATTTTGTTCCATACAATGATATATTACTGGTTGGTCGTGGTGGTTATGCAACAAAATTTAATACCGGACGTTTCAGACGTATTGCACGCGATATGAATTGGTTATATGGAAATATAACTAATATTGGATCAACTTGGTAAGTTATTCAATATAAATATTTATTTAAAAGTAAAAAAGAAATAAATAAAGATATTTTTTGTATTAGGTATGGATCACCACGTGTTGCCCAACGTATTGCTAATTTTACTTTAGAAGCTATGTTATATTTATCTATAAATGAATTTACACAGCCAGAACGAGAAAGAAAATTGGGCATTTTAGTATGTTGTTTTTTTCAATCCCCTGTGATTTAAAAGATATAGATATATATATGAGTGAATTGCAAAATTATTGTACGATTCTATGATAAAAAAATAGACGAAAAAAAATTTCCGATCTTTAAAACGATGATTAGTGTATTTTATGGTACAACATGAGAGGAGAATATAAATAAATTTTTCCGACCACTACTATCAAATTGGCCGAGATATGAGAGTTTTTTTTAAGATTACTATTTAAATTCAAGGTCATATGCCTTTGATAGTATACGTCTCAGTGGAATTTTTCGATGGTATTTTAGATTTTAATGTTGAAACTTTTCTTTGAACTGAGAAACCATATTTAATCTAGAATTAGCGCCTGAAACAGGATGATTTGTCCTAAATTATATTTTTGGTTTTTACACTTACAAAGCGATAAAACTTGCAAATGTACAGTCAATACGAGAATGTATATAATTAGTGAACTTTTTCTGTGAATTTATTGCTTTGTAAGACACAATGTAGTATTAATTCGTATGACTCTTGGTAGTTCCTTAAATATGAACTCAATTAATATATAACGGATTTATTTTGACTTCAGCTTTGGGGTAGTTATACACATAATAATCTCCCGTGACATTTTTACACTATTTTTTCTCTTTTGTACGAAAGACAAACTTTCTGATTCTGATATTTTGAACAATAGTTGACCACAACGAGTGGATAAGACGGTCAAAGTTTCAGCTCAATCTGCTATAGACCTTAGGAGAGTGATACGTCAAACAAAATAAAAAATCGTGCGTGACATTTAGTGTAACAACTATTTTTTTTAAATTTATTTCATTTTATTTTAATAAAAAATAGTGTAACTTTTTCATCGTCTTTGACCACTTTTAGTTCCCCTTCATTGACTTTTGCTCAGTAACAACCCGACCAATTTTAGATGCACCATCACAGGCCAAAGTCGTTTTTAATCTCGCATGACAGGAATTCGAGAATTGACTGTACATAGGATATACAGAAAAAAAGTGACGTAATACATGTCATGAAAGAATCAATCAGTTTTATATTTTTGAAGTTCTATGAAAGGAGAACTAATCGAATATATGATACTTTTTTTCAACGGATGACAATAAAAATCGATCTTTTTTAATTTTGTGCATTTAATTTCTCGACACTGATTTGAGATAAATTTATGATTTTTTTGTGTGGTAGTGGGGACTTCTTAGAGAAACATAACCTGAAAAATCATATAGTTTGATTGAGAAGAACTTGACTTATTGAAATTTTACATATAAGAATATAACGATATAATAATTTTGCAATTCACTTATATATATATATCATCTTTGTATAGCTTTGGCCTGATTGGCATTATGGTGTACTTTTATTATATGGTTCTGAATTGGCAATTAATCATTTAATATTAGCTGAAAATATTAAATTAGGTTTAGCTAATACATTATTAGATCAATTCACAACAACTAACAATCCATATGATTTTGAAAAGAATAAACCTTTACATTTACATTGTTGGCATACATATAAACAATTTTCAAAATTTCTATTTAAACGTGGAAAATATAACGATATACATCCACGTAAATTTATTAATGATACATCAGCATCTGGTTTTGTAAGTAGAATTCTTTTTGAATAGAAATGACATTTTTTTTGTTGTTGTATATAATTAATTTTAAAAATTTAGATTAAAATTATATGTTGAATTTATTTGTATAAATTTTTATTTTTAGGCAATGAGAATGGCATTGGAATCTCGTTTAATGTCATCTACTGATTTGAAAGAACAGTTGATGAATGCGAAAAATTCGTCAATATTATAAGTTTTATTCTCTTGTATTCAATTAATTTCGATTTTGTTATCTTTTTATCTGTTATAAATAAAAGAGTACATCTAACGTATGTTATTTTAAGTCTATCGATTCTGTAAAAAAAGAAGATCTATGGTAATGATCTATAATTAAATTCAATCACAAAGTAAAACAGATAGTTCGATGTCTGATGAATGAATTTTTTCTGAAAATAAGTCTAATAATCAGTTCTGTTTTTTTTGTAAATTTCTTAGTTGTGATAAATTATCTTTCATTACTATATAATGGTGTCCTACACGGGTACAGTTTTTCACAATCAGATCTGCTATCTAATATTCGGGCCTCAACTGGAGTCAATCAACATCCACAGATACTTTCACAGTTACAAGACGATTTTCAAACTTTTATTTTATATGAAAACGTATACTACTTAGTTTTTTCCCATAAACAACAACAGAAAATAAGAGATCATTTTGAATTTCACAAAATAACAAGTGATTCAAGATTCACTTAATGTTTTTCTGCTTCTAAAATCTGATCAATTTCATTAGGTATACTTTTCTTTGTTGCTGATGACGATGGAATAGAATGTGATGTTGGTACCAAATGTCATAATTATGGATACATACATGAATGCTTTTTTCATTACAATAATAAATCTTCATCTTTTTGCTAATTTATTTTTCTCTTCATGTATTCAGTGATTTCGTCATATCGTTCATCATCATCATCTGTAAATGAATTTGTATTACAAACAAAGTTTTTCGGTGTTCAATCATGATCGAATCAGTTTTCATTCCTATACTTTTCGATAATTTAGCAGTTTGAAAAAGTAAAAATATTTTGAAACGTCGTGATTCTCATTAACAGTTAGACTGGATTCGAATCGACATTGGTTTTCCATGTTCGACATCCGAACTGATCCGGCGATTTTACACTCTATCGATGCCATGCGGCACACGTCGAGATGAACAAGTGACATAAAACGAAGATGTTATGATGCCTTTTCTAATACAATGATAGTATAGCTACTCAATAATTAAAAGAAACTAATAGCTTGAAATCTGAAAGTTAAATTCATTGATTGAAAACCTTTCCAGAGGTTCTAATATTGCTCTGTATATGTTTCTTTTTTTGTAGCACTATCAACAAGAGAGTTAACTTTGTGTGTATTTAGATGACTAAATTTTAGATATTCAATGAACGAATTCAACTTCCAGTTTGAACATATATGAATTTCAAACAAATTATAGTTTTAAAAAACCGTTTTCAAAATTTTTGACTGATTGCTCATTTTTCGAAATTAATATATTCGCAGCTTGAAAAGTCATTTGTTTATATTTCGAATGAATTATTTAATTAACATAATTTACAATAGAACCAATCTTGTTGTACATTTTTCAAAATTTCAACTGAAACGGAAAACACGATTCGTTTGAGAGTCTGCGAATCGCACCTGTTTGTGATTCACAGTTGTCAACATATTATATAGTAAGATCAAATTTAGCTATTATTTAAGACCTACATTTGGAAACAGATCCATAATAACGAGTGAAAACACCTTGTTTTTCGACATTTCAGCACTTTAGCAACACATCCAATCGCTCAGTTTTTTGATGATTCAGCTATGAGTCAAGCCACAGCACAAAACTTTTACATTGTTCCAGTGTCTTTCAATGAAAGTATTTTTTTATTACAATTGCGGTCAATTTTTGTCATAATCGCGATATTAAGAATTTCGACGAGTCCGATAGTAACTATAGCATTGGACATTCCAGTTTATAAAGATCTCACATGCTGGAATGGAAGCACTTGTAGTAACGATTGATCACAGTCCGTTTTTTGAAAACCGAGATTTTGTCTGAAACCGTCATTACTTGTACTGCAGTATCCAAAGACAAAATAATAGTGGTTTTTTGACGATCGAAGTGAACTTAATATGCACTACTGTCTTGAAATATTTCGTGTATTGCATGAATGATATGTCAAGGAATGTGTGTAGACGAGGTAAATGGCGTGCTCCACTCTTCATAAGATTTTCTTCTGACAGATGTCGTAATCACTCTGTCAATGCACGATGACTTCACAAGAAATGTGATGTCTAAAAATCACTGCACAGCTTCTCTAAGGGCAGCATATCTGTACTTTGCGAAAATTTATAAAATCTTGACCATCTTGAGTCAGTTTTGTCTTATGTGAAGGTAGTGTTGAGATAAAACTATGCTTTCACTATTTATATTAAACCGATATAGTCATTCGCTTACTCTATTTTTCATCGCCATATTTTTATAACATTCTGAAAAAACACGATTCGAAGCGGCTTATAGAAATCGAGTGAATGTTCTGATTTACGTGAATCAAAAAAAAACTGACCAAAACTGCTGTTTCACTTACCGCCATTCACTGTTTTTTTTTTCAAAAAACTTTTCCGAGTGTTGGACGAAAGCGCGATGAAAAAATAATTTGATATTGTATGAGATAGAATATGATAATTTTCTTCTCTTTATTTTGAAATGCTCAGCGTTTTTAGAATTAACAAACATTTGTTTCGAATAAATCTCCAGATTCATCACATGAGTATTAACTATATCTATGGTATGCTGCACTAATAGTCCATAATGTTTTAGCATGTGCCATTCAATTTGCAAAGCTAATCTTCTTAGGTAGATGAGTAAATGTCATCTTTGGAACTATCGATGATTAAGTATATTGTTATGATTGAGTAAGAATTAGTTTGATCTTGCCTTAAAAAAATATGTTCAGTATTTCCATGACATGCTATCTGATAAAAATCTTCGACTTCACATTTACTGTTTGATTAATTGCAATCAATAAGAAAACAGATATGATCATTTTATTTTTTTTAGTCTTTGTGTAATTCATCTTATTTTCAGTAGACAAACTATTCTTATCAACAATATAACTTCAACAGTAAGTATATTATTTTAAAAAGTAAATCACATTTCTTTTTAATTAGACCAACACCAATTATCATTTCATTGTCAAGTATAATTGAAATAAAAAATTATATTTTTATATTTAGGGGAGCGTCAGGAAAAAGAAACATTCATCCCTCTTATGAAAATAAAATAATAAACGATATCGTAGATGAAGGTTAACAATAGTTATCATTATTGCACTAGAATCCTTGAAGATTCTTTTATTAAAAATTGACACTCGAATTTAATGCTAACTTTTTCTAACGAGGGAACTACTCGAACTGATATATGTCGTTTGACCGCATATTGGATTCACAAGAACGTCTTGGTAAGTCTAGAAAAGTCCTAAAAGGGTTCGTTCCTATGGGTATCTGGAACTGAGTTATGGACGATTTACTGAATTTTCAATCTAACTTTAGGTATCTACCAAAAAAACCAAATAAGAGAAATTCTATCTGAAATTTTGTCTATAGATAGGTCTGATAGAAATATCCTGAAAGTTTCAATCAAAAAGAATATTCCGTTATCGAGATATTAAATGGGAACAAAATATTTGATCAGTAAAAAAGATTAAATGATCAGTATAAAAATTGAACGATCAGTACTAAAAGTATCAGTAAATAATAATAGAATGATCAGTTTATTATATATAATTACCAGTAAAATGTACAATTTATTCCAGTAACAAAAATACAAATTTGATCAGTAGAAAAATAAGTTTTAACTGTATTAAATAAAAATTTATCAGAAAAAGAAATTTAAATAATTAAAGAACAATCCAAAAGAATATTTTATAGAAATCTAAAGAGTGAGTGAGAAAAGAGTAAATGAATAAGCATTTTCTTCCAAAACTTCATCGGATAAATTGCTTGTATATTGTGCGCAACCACTACCATTTTCATTTCTTTCATTTGTTAAAATTTGAGTAATGATGACCAAGAGGATAGAAGTAAAGAGTGTATATTTGTTAGTATTTAATCTCAAATTCAGTCCAATCTTAGATCCACTTAGGTCAACCTGGAGTCGCATTCTGGAGTAGTGCAATGCCAGATTAGGAAAGCAGTTTTCGTTAAAATCTTCACTAGTGGCTAGATAAATATTGCATTGGAATAATATTGTTGAACTAGGTTAAAACGATGGTATTTCAACATTGCGATCACCACTGAAGAAACGAAGTTTAGACACGAACACTTATAGATAATTTTCTATAACAGCTGGTCTGCTATAGAAACCTATTCGCAAGTTCTAGAACCCTAAATTAATTTCTCTATCGATGATTATATTAGCTGAAATGTCATTTTTTCAAAACAGTTCAGTAAGAAGTATTCCAAATTAATAACTATCCAGGGACAGTTAAAAGTTTTCACGAAAATCAGCTTCTCAATCCGACATTTGACCAGGCAAATATGAGAGTCTCGTATTGGCTAGGTACATCTGAAATTGGATTGACGCCGAGATTGGGCACAAATATATATACGTTGTACTTGTTATCTGTACAACATAGTTGAAAAACAGAAAAAATGAACCACACTATAACACATTTGAATTTCTATGCTCATCTTTGTATTTAATTTACTGTTAATTAATTATATTTACTGATTCTCAAATTTATTTACAAATCTTATCAATGAATAACTGATTATCGAAGTAATTTACTGATCAATTATCCAGTTTACTGATCAATCATTCGATCTGCTGATTTTATAATATTCTAACGTACTGATCATTTCATCTATTTTACTGATCACTTAAATCTTAGCCATATTAAATTTTCCAGTACATTCAAGTTTTATGACAAACTACCATTGTTTTTTTAGGAAATTCAACATCTCGACAAAGAAACATTCTTAACGGCTGAAATTTTCAGAATATTTCCAGAGTCATTAAGTCTATCTATAGACAAAATCTGAGGTCGAAATTCCACCATTATTTGATGTTTCAGTAAATATCTAAATCTGGTTCGAAAATCAATAAAACGATCATAACTCGATTCTAGATGCCCATGAGGATGAATTCTTTTAGAATTTTTCTAGTCTTACCTAAGCGTCCTTGTGAACCCATATGAGCTTAAAG